AGTGTGTGTGTGTGTGTGTGTGTGTGTGTGTGTGTGTGTGTGTGTGTGTGTGTGTGTGTGTGTTTGCATTGACTGTGTAACTGCTTTCACCTTCACTCCATATGTGTCAGCGAGTCTTCCTCTTGAAACTGACTGACATTAGAGCAAATGGCTCCCTTGCTCACATCAACTTCCTCTAAACATTACGGCTCCCCAGACCCACACACAGCATGACGGGAACGTTAATTAATGACAGACGCTGTTCATTGAGCGCAACTCGCATCGGCCTTCTCTCTCACACACATGTGTGTAAATTCTACTTAACAATACACACAAACACACTGCAGGAAATTGGATCCAAAAGATTCAACAAGAGATTCAAATTCGAGGTCAGGAACACACCCGCCAGCAGACCCAGAACTTTTCAGCACACACACACGCAAACACGCCTACTTAAGGCTCTGCGGTGCAAGCCCAGCAGAATGTATATCCTGTTATATCACTGTACCAGGGGAACTTTAGCCATCAAAATAATCCTACAGAGCCTCAAAATATTACGGAGGATTAAGTGAGAATGATTGTGTGTCTTTTCTGTTTTTCTGTCTTCTGAACTGTTTTTTCTTAGATTTATTTCCTCTCTGGATGTACTTGCTTATATGAAGAATTACAGGCGGACACGTGGATGTAACCTCCAGGTCTGTGAAGTAAAACTTCCATGGCCCTGCTGCTCACAGGCTTTACAACCTCTTACATACTTTGAATTTAAGGTCTCAATAACTTTTAAAGTGTCATTCCAATTAAAGTGAAACTTTATAACAGAGCAGGGGTGTTAAACATAAGGGCCAGAATCAGCCTGGCAAACACTCCAATTTGTTCCACTGGATGGATGGTTTTGGAAAATGTAAAGGCAGGTCTAGATTTTGGATGTTTAACCCTGTAACGACAACTACATCGCATTTGATACATACATAACAAAACAGGAAAAACACAGTTTTTCAGACCTCTACTAACTACATTCACCCTGAAAAAATGAAATAAATTGCAATATACATGTTTAAGCAATAAATTGCCGGCTGTGACTTTTAGTACTAGTACTAGTACTAGTAGTAGTAGTAGTACTAGTTTTTAGTTGAATTAACCTTTTAAAGTCTGAACTATGAAATAATTGCCAGAAAATTTAGATTTTGGGAAAAAGGAGTGTTTGGTAAACTTTCTGATAATTTCTTTAATTAAAACGAATTTGCATAAATAAGTTTAAATGTGAGAGTGAGAAAATGTACCATTTTAAGAAAAATATTAGCTCATTTTGAATTTGATTGCAACAACACAGTTTGGAACAGCTTAGACGAGGCCATGTTTATCATTATGCAGCATCCCTCTTCTTTTTACAACAGTCTGTAAAACAGCGGCCCCCAACCCCCGGGCCTCGGACCGGTATTGGTCCGTGAGTTGAGGCTCAGGTATGAAATGTATGGTTTTCAGGGTTTTTATCGGTTTTCAGCGTTATTTTGTTATCGTTTTTATCGTTAACTCAGTTTTCCTGGGTCTTTTCACGTGTGTTATGAACAAATCTTCTTTTTTTCGGTACCGGTACTAGTTTTATTTTGTTGTATTTATCGGCGACACCTTAAAGGCCGGTCCGTGAAAATATTGTCGGGCATAAACCGGTCCGTGGCGCAAAAAAGGTTGGGGACCGCTGCTGTAAAACATTTGGAAACTACAGAGACCAGTTGCTGTATTTTTGAGAGCACAGTGTTGTCCCACTATTGTCTGATGTAGGATTCTATAGTTGCTCAATGGTCCTGGTGCAACATTGCTGTGTTTTCTGCTCCATGATGAGTCAGATGTTTTAAGCTGGTGAAAGGTCCGGACTGCAGACAGGCCAGTTCAGCGCCTGGACTCTACCTCAAAGCCGTGCTGTGTTAATAGCTGCAGTGTGTGGTTTAGTGTTCTCTTGCTGAAATATGAAAGGCCTTCCCTGAAAAGAAAAAAAACATCAACAGGATGGGAGCATGTGTTCTAAAAACTGTATATTGCTGTTCCTGTTCCAAATGTGCAAGCTGACAGATCTGTATGTACTAATATACCCACATACAATCAGAGATGAAGGCTTTTTAAAATGAAACTCCTCTTTCAAATTTCCAACTTCAAACCATCTAACTACAGAACAGTTTTCCCACTTTGCCTCTGTCCATTTTAAATGAACTTTAACCTGCATTTGTGGATGGTGCAGTGAACTGTGTTCACAAACAATGATTTCTGGAAGTGATCCTGGGCCCATGCTGCGATTTCCAAGACAGAAAAAATGCAGTGCTGCCTGAGAGCTTGAAGACCACAAGCATCCAAAATCAACTGTCACTGCCACTGTCTCCAAACCACATCACACCACCATCTTCTAAATTTGCCCATTTACTCTTGCTCCTTCTGTCATAGCTGTCCAGATTCTCCAAATCTTTTAATGACATCAAGTACTGGAGATGATGAAAATTTTATTTTGGGGAACATTATTCTCAAAATCGCCCATTTTTACCTCTGAGAAACCCTGCCTCTCAAAAAGACTCTTTTTATACTGAGTCATGTTACTGACCTGTTGCCAATTAACTTTTATTTCCCCCAGCTTTTTTGATATGTATTATTGCGATCAGATTCAAAATTTACTAATATTTTTTTTCAAAAATTTAATATTTTCTTAGTTTAAACATTTAATATTTTTTCTTTTGCACTGAGAATAAAGAAATGGATCTAGATTTTAAAATCATTTCATTCTTTTTTAAAAAAAAAGTTTTTAAATTTAGTTACATTTTGTTTTACAAAATGTAACTAAATTTGACATTTTGTCAATTGAGGTCGCAGTTCCTAATTAACCTTCATCTTGACTCTAGTTAAATGTGTTCTGAAAGCAGTCAAAGTGCAGCTAATGAACACATAGTACAAAGATGTACATAGTATGAAATTTAAAGTTGCTAACTGCAATTCAAAGGCTGGAATCAAGTTTTGATCGCTGCACAGTCCTGTCTGTTTTCTGTGTAATGTTCACTCAAGACTGAGTCACAGCAGCTTTTGTTAGTAATCACTAATAATTTGGAAAAAGTTACAGAAATATGTAAACAAATGTGCGTTCTCTCTCTTTCTGTTTTTAGCAGTTTACATGCCCCCCCCCTACCCCCCTTGTGCAGATGACACTAGATGACAGAAGGTCATAATTATTGTATTTCACAGGAAAGTTATATAAGCATTTTAATCTGCACTACATGTGTGAAACACGCCAAAGTTTGGACGTCAACTATAAAAGAACAAATATTTGGAGGAAGGTAACACTTGGTTAACGTTGGTCTGTCATCTCGCAGAAGACTGGAGATGCTATAAGCCATTAAAGAAACTAAATAAAAACGTACTCCCACAGGATGCTGCGGGAACTGAAAGGTGAAGAAAGGTGAACTCCATCACTAACAGAACTAACGTGCAGACATTATTTGTATAAAAAACCCAAAGGAATAGCTTTCAACACATATAGGGGGAGTTAACAGTAAATATGAGCTAATAGACTGCATACAGCTATCATTAGTTGATTACTAAGTACTGAGAGTGAGACCCTCACCACACGAAAATCTCCTCTTTTCAATTGAATTCAGTTTTATTTATACAGCGCAAAATCACAACAGTCGCCTCAAGGCACTTTATATTGTAAGCTTTGTGTTCAGATAAACTTCAGGTTGACAACTTCGGCAATGAACAAAACATCACTTTTGACAAAGGCTCTCAGCAAATTCCATTGGTTCCAGGAGTTTTCAATGCGTCCTATTGCTAAATAATATTTTAGCTTCTCAATCTGAAAACTAGAAAACTCTGAAGAAGTCAGAAGTCTGTCTATCCAGTTTGCTTCAAGAAGGAAAGATGCCAGACACATGTTGACATGTCTTTGAAGATCAGCTCTGCGTTGTCCGTTAGAATTAGAGATATAAAAGGATGCTGTAGCTGACCTGTTTTTATGCTGCACCCTATGCCTTTTTTCAGGTTGTCAAAGGAATGGGGGGAAGAGGAAAAATGCACATTCCTCAATAGATGGTTCTGAAGGTCAATGTGATAATAATGTTATATAGAACTATAAAATAAGTAAGTTAAAGTGCTGAAGCCTGTTGTAGTTTATAAAACGAAATGTTTTTTCTGTGAGATTTCAGTTGCTTGTTCGGTTTGTCGGACAGCAGAATGCCTGCTAACCATTAAGGATTCTGGCTTATGAAGTGTCACCTGGTAGCAATCAGGATGGTACCTGTCCTATTTAATGTGAAGGACAAGATGTAGATGATCTCCATTTTGCCTCATCTCATCAAAGAAAACAGCAGCTTTCCTTGGTCTGGTTAATGTACGGCATGATCTGTAACATAAAAAAATATGCATGCAGCAATGAACTATGCTAAGGTTTTCAGAATTTTCACTACAGATTCATAATTTGTATGTGTGTGGTGTTTTTTAAGGACTTTTAATGCAGCGCCAAAGTTGAGCAGCACAAAAGAATCTAATGTAGCCAGTAGTACAGTACTACCACTGTAACTGTCTCCATGTCTCTGAACCAAAGGCCTTTGATTTAGGTGATGTCAGATGCTTATGTAAGACTTAAAAAATGTTGCTTGTTCTTGCAATCACTATTCAGTGAGTTTGCCTATAATAGTACATAATTTAGCAAAAACAGGCTCTAAACCAAGAACTTTTTGCCCCAACTTCAGAGAACTAATTTGGAAATGCACAATATTGAAGGCAGACAAGTATGCACTTGTCTGCCTTCACACGCATTCACCAATTTCCTTCGGGGCCAACCTTCAGGATCAACCTTCAGGATCAATAAAGTTTATTGAATTGAATTTGAACTTGAGTGTCATCCCATTTTTAATGCATAGGGTTTAATACCATGTTGGCCCACACTTTGCAGCTATAACAGCTTCAACTCTTCTGGAAAGGCTTTCCACAAGGTTTAGGACTGTGTTTATGGGAATTTTTGACCACTCTTCCAGAATCCCATTTCAGAGGTCAGACCTGGTCTGCAGTCCCTGCTCTATTTCATCCCAAAGGTCTTCTGTCTGGTTGAGGTCAGGACTTTGTGCAGGCCAGTCAAGTTCTTCTTCACCAAAGGTATAATCATCCATGGAGTTTGCTTTGTGCACCAGTGCACAGTGATGTTGGAACAGGAAGGGGCCATCAACAAAACTGCTTCCACAAAGTTGTGAGTCTGGAACTGTCTAAAATGTCTTGGTATGCTAAAGAACTAAGGGGCAGAGCCCAGCTCCTGAAGATAACCTTACACCATAATCCCTCCTTCACTAAACATTACACTTGGCACAATGCAGCCAGTAAAAGTACCGTTTTCCCTACAAGTACCAAACCCAGACTCGTTCTTTAGATTCCTAGGAAAGCATGATTCATCACTCCAGAGAAATGCTTTACACCACTACATCTGACACTTTGCATTTTGCTTGGTGATTCAAGTCCTTTTTCAAGGACTTTCAGTTGTCCGAGACCGGGCTATAAAAATCAGTAAGTCCTGGATGCAGCTGAATTAATTCCTCACGACAAGTGCAATTGTGAGGAATATACAACTGGACTTTCTGCACAGGTGGCATCCTATCACAGTACCAATTCATTCGGAATTCACTGAGCTCCTGAGCGTGCCCCATTTTTTCCACAGATGTTTGTAGAAGCAGTCTGCATGCCCAGATGCTTGACTTTATCAACCTGTGGCCATGGAAGCGATTACCTGAATTCGATGACGTGGATGGGTGAGTGAACACTTTTGGCAATATAGCTTAGGTTTAAAAGACATCCATCTATTAAGTTTTTCGTTTGGTTATTTTGGTTGAATTCATTGTAATGCACTCACTTAAATCTCCATGTTGACTTGTCAACATTACAACGGTTTTCTGGTATTCATATGACTCGATTGACACATTCCAGTGGTGAGCACGTGTGACATTTTATACAGATTAACCGGTCTGTTTGGGTTCAGGTTGCTTTTCTGCATTGGCTGTATGTTTCCCTGTGTTCTCTGTGCATATGTCAGAGGTCATAAGTCACTGAGTCCATGCACATTTGTGTGTACTTTTGATGTGTGGCTCTGGGTTAAGTTAGGGTTCAGCAGAAAGTACATTCCATACTGCTGTGAGAGTGACTGTCTACTCTATCAGGGTAAATGTTGTCATCAGCTTCCTGTCTTTTTATTTTTTCTGCAGAGAAGCAGAAACACTGACAGCAACAGCAAGCCCTCGTCCCCTGTTGACCTTAACACGCTCTTGTCAAAAATTGGGCAAGTGCTCAAAGCGTCCACAGCTGTTTAGTGTATGCTGCATTCCAAGTCCATGAGAGTGTTCATCTGTTTTGGCAACTGTTTATGTGTTGTGTTGTGTTTTGAATAAATCCGTACTATCAATGCAAAACCACTTTCTTTTGTTTCATACTGCCAAATGTCTATTTCATTCTTCTACTGCGTGTGTGTCTACATGCTCTCCCAAAGCGACTGATAAACCCTGGCAGTCTTGACAGAGGGCCAGAATTGTGTTGCCTAGACTGTTAATTCCAGGAAGTCGATCTGATTTTGCCCTGAGCAACAAAGTGAACCTCAACGGTAGATTAATGCTCATTGATTTGGCGTCACACCACGGCCGGTCTACTTGATAGTTCAGCTCTCTGTTTCCATCAGACTGATTACTACAACCTGGTCTCACGAAAACCTAAGCTTGCCGTCTTAAAATGTGAATAAATGAGTCACCTTCACAGTGTGTGTGCCTCACAAGTGAAGGAAATAAAAAAACTAACAAAAAACACTGACTTCACATTTGGTATTTGCTAATAACTTAATAAGGAAGATCATTTTCACACAAAACCCTTGAAAAAGCTGTTTAAAAAGTGTTATGGAAAGCATCCTCCCAGTCAAGAACATTCAATTATTAAACTCTGAAAGGCTAAAACAGTGCCTGGTTTCCAATAAATAGCGCTGATGGGCAGCTTGATCTATCACAGCACCGGTCACATTCAGTTACTATTGCTTGGCTCCTGAGTCCAACCTGTGTGTGTGTGTGTGTGTGTGTGTGTGTGTGTGTGTAACAAGCATGTGGTTTCTAAGAAGAAACAAGTACAAGCTGTTGAGCCTAAGCTGCTGTCAGTTAGCGCAACCCTTCATGCTGTGCCAAAGGTTGGAAGTGAAGACTATGTTTGTTTTGCAGATGTATGGACTTGTAGAGTGTGAACCATCCAGTCATGTGTGTATGTGTGTGCACGCGTCTGCTCACCTTCTTGCTCTCCTCTATTTCTCTGAGTCGTTTTTTTTCCTGCTGCTCCTGCTCTAATCGCCTGCGGACCTAAATCACACAGACACACATACATGCACACACACACAGCACACACACACACACAAACACATGGATATACATGAAATTTGTGCACATTTGGGGTGTGATATTTGATTCGGTCACACTTGCCATACCCTCTCTTCTTTCCTGTCCCTCCAGTCGTTCCCTAAAGCCGCCGCTCCTTCTGTCCTTTCCGATGTTCTCAGAAATGCATAGTCCTCCTCTTTACACAAACCTCTCATTGACTAGAACCAGAAAAGTGGCTTTTGTGAGTGTCATGAAACAGCGTCAATGCTGGAACACAGGCAATATGGTGAAGTGGTGAAAAAGTAGTCCCTTGGTGGTGTCTGGATATTTTCAGTATTTCAGTATTCAGTATTTATTTCTTACTAGAGACTCATTGAAGTTACATTTCTATGTGGCATTCATTCTTACACACACCACACTTTATGATTCACATACAGCTTCTGTTCATAGTTTTATGCCACATATGTTACTGTAAGTGCAACACCCATGACTAGATGCTAATGTCCAGTGATGCACGCTAACAATGCTAAATGTTTTTTGTCTAGAGAACTGGCAAGTAGGTATTTGATTTGGGTAAAATTACCAAATGCAAAAATAAATGTATAAATTTTTTAGAAAATTTTTAAAATTCATTTATTTTTGTGTATTTTAATTCACTTTAAGAAGTCATCAGATTTCAGTACATAAGGGTTAACTTACTTGCCTTTGGGAAGAAGCCATAGCATTCAGAGGAAAATTAGGAACAGGAGAACATGCAAACTACACACACAGAATTGCCATCAGTGTTTCAATCCAGGAACCTTCTTGCTGTAATGCCACAGCGTTAACCACTGCCTCACTTTGCTAGCATGCTGCCTGAGTCATGACATGTTGTTTTTCTTGTCTGAGATTATTTTTTTTTACTTTAACTTTTTTACACCACTACATTTTCTGGAAGGTCTGAATAGCTTGTAACTTTGTGGTGACTGGTGACTGTTTCCCCCTTGGGCTTATTGACAGCAAAAGACATATAAACCTGCACTTTACCATGATGCCTGCCTTCCCTGCTTCCTTCATATTCACTGGGTTGAATCCAGGTTTTACAAATGTTCACTTATATAAACTTGAAGCAGTCAAATGTAGGACATTGTCAATATGTAGGACAGCGGGACAAGAGATAAGTGGTGCTTCATAACGAGGTCACCCTTTTACTGGGATCACCAAAAGGTCTCATGAATATAAAAATGACACTAAATGACATCTGCTATGACCTCAGCTGCCTCACAAGATCTCAACCCAAATGACAAATATACATGTGGAACAAATGCACCGAGGAAATGGAAACTGTTTATTTGATTTACTGTGTTTCTTTTCTTGGCCTTTCTCAGAATTGTTCTACTTTAAGTTATCTGAGGATAATTATCAATCTGGTTGGTGAAGAATAAATATATGAAGAAACTTTCAACCCTACACCCAGCAGCATGTAACTTACCTTTGACATGGGAATGCCTTGAAACGTCTTCTCGTGCGTCATCTTAAACAACAGATCTGCGGCTCATGACACACAAGTGTTCACATTTTATTAAGTCTCAGTGATGCTTTTATGTCAAACATTTAATTTTCTTTCAAAATCTGTGAAAACTTTGTAGCATTTAGAGTTAAATAGCTAATCAGAAATTAGCTCAACTCACCTGTAGGTCAAGAAGAACTGTGTCCTCTCTTTTTACACACTCTTTCGGGTTCAGTGTGTTTTGAGATCTTTCTCACCCCGCTCTAATTGCCTCCTCTTCTGCTCAATCTTTTAGAATACCCACAGATGTGTCCTTACTCAGCTCAGAGTCCCAACAGAAAGCTGACGATCGGAGTCATGGACGTTTTTGTACAGTAACAGTGCAACACTTAAATGTTGGTCATTTCCACAGTGCAGTGATAGAATTGCCACTATCCTGCTAATAAAAAGTCAGGAAGCCAAGAAGAGCATAATAAATAGGTGACGCTTTTTAAAAATTAAAGTTCGTGGGTCACTGTATCTTAACCACGATGACACACAGTAAGAATTAAGTAAAAAAAAAAAATTACTCTTGTTTTTTTTTTGTTTTTTTTTTAAAAAGGTACAGGCACATTTTAGTCTGTATGCTAATCGAAACAAACCAACAGCTTACATCATTTAATTTAACTATTTAATAAAAAATATGAATCTTTGTATCCTCAGGTATAGAAAAGTACCATTTTAATATGCCCACATGGGTCAAAAATAATTGTCAGCATTGTAAATATACAGCTTCATTTGTCTTTGCAGCTGGCATTCTGCTGCTGTGTTACCCTCCCCCATCTGGGATGAGTAAAGTTCATGATACTCTGTTATTTTAATTAATAGTATTTTCAGCAGGCTGCTAAAAAGGAGCCTGACAGCCACATTAGCTGCTCCTGTGATGGATATGCAGCACTGAGGCTCTGAGTGTTTCCACTGAACACGTTCTACCACAGTGTTGTTACATTGTTGCTGTATCAATTCAGATCAGGAGATGTGACCAAGAGAAGTCAAAGCTGAGTGAAACTTTTCACAGCAGGGATCACTTCCTTTCCAATTTCTCATTCAGATTCAATGAGACATTGGATTCTGTCTATAAAACACGATAAAGGCATGAATTTCAGTGCAGATATTTTGAATGAAACAGATCGCAGTAGTTTCCTGGACTGAAGAATGAAGCCGATACTGATGCGCCAAAAACTGCATCTCCTAAAACGACCACTTGAGGCTACCTTCAAAGTCATTCTGGGATTAAAATGTTCTCATGAAAAATCTGACACAAATCATTCAACAAGTTTGTGCTTCAGTTTTAACAAGTAAAGTTCTGATATTTTATTATTCTGTTACTTAATAAAATCAAACACAATAACAACAACAAAAATAAACATGGTGTTAATGCTTAAAACTATAAAGTCCAGAAACCGTCTTTTATGTACAGTCTGTGCTGCTATATGAACTTTGAACTTTATTTGCCAGGAACTTTCCACAGATAACAAAACAGTGATACACGAATAATAAAGAACTACACAAACTTCCTGGTAATAGTTCATTAAACCTCTTTTTAGTTTTCTTTAATAATGTCAAATATTTGAATTTCCCTCTGACAACTCAACTTTGAAATTATTTGTACAGCAGCAGAATACAGTTATAGTCTGGTGTCTATGCATCAGAGTTCATCACTCTTTGGTATATGGTATGGAATTGGGGGTTGCTGAACAAAATCCAGCAAAAGGTGGATGACGAGGTGGTGGAGGGGTTGGAATTGCAGGTAACGATGCAAGGCGACGGTGGAACTGACATGTCAGAGGTAGATATTGGTAAGTGCAGGATAAATTGACCACCAAATTGGGGGGTTACTATGTAACTCACACCAATGGACTATAGGTTTAAAAAATTTTTTTATTTCTGTGGACCACATGAACAGACTCTTTCTCATGCTCCTTTTGCTTGTTGCTTTTTCATTGCTCGTCTTTGAGCTTTCTCTTTACCTCCACTGGTAAGGCTGATGGTCATTCTCCCTAATGCTCGTTCTGCCATAGTTTATGTCCTCTGTCCTCCCCCCTATTGCTGTTTTACAAATATAACTGTAGCTATAAAAAAGCTTTAAACAAGTTGTTGACCCCAGTAACAAAGTCACAGAGAAAAATCACATAGTAAAAGACCTCTTTTTATTGTAGTATGCCTGCATGCGAGTCTGAAACCCGCACAACTTAAATGAAAGCCATGCATGCTTTGTCCTGTTTAAAACATTTGGTTATAATCAACGATAATTGAAAGGCGATGATCCTTCAGCACTGTAACAGCCTAACAGTTACATGCTAACTGCATTAGTCCTGATCATAATATTGGATGGAATGAGTAAGAAATAACTATGATGACAATAATATCATGGTACGGCTTAGAAACAAGAAACATCTTGAAATCAAACACCAATCACGTAAGAATACAAACCCTCTGGATATTCATCAACTTTCTCCACTGAAATACAGCATAAGGAAATGTGATCCAACTTAAAGTATCAGAGGTGGTTATGCAAATGTCTTTCACACAATCACTATACAGATCATTTGCAATGATTTTTGAGTATTTTGTTTGTGCTCCATCTCATCCCAGACTCACAACAGATGCTTCTCCATACATGGATTCAGTCAGTGTCATTATTGCCCTCTTGGACTCTTTCATGCCACTGTAATCCATTTTTATTAGAACAAGTCTTCACGTTGTCTTTTATGGGCATGTGCGGAAAAACACACAGAACCAAACTTCTGTTTTAGGATTTTTCTCACTTAATAACTATAGGTTACAGAACAGAGTGGGTTACAAAGTGTACTTACTTACCATTTGCACAGGCTGGGTGTGTATATCATTTAAGGAAGAATGCTAAACTCCCACTGGGCCTCTGATTCTAGTTCCCATCCTTTTTTGACCAGTGGCATCAGGCTAACCAAGGTATCCCAGATGTCTTTCTACTCTGTCACATCCTACAGCTTCTCCCTGGAGGCTCCCAAAATGTCTGAGAATGTCGTTTCAAGAAAACTGAGGCAGTTGTCTGGCAAATGCCTGACGAGGGCATGTTTTTAATTCCAACCGATGAGTTCGCTAATGTGAACACAGACAATGTTCTTAATGAAATGAAATATGTTCAAAATGTATACTCGCTTTCATGAAATTATTTTTATATTTGGTAAATGGCCTGCATTTGTAAAGCGCTTTACTACTCCCTTAGGACCCCAAAGCGCTTTACACAACTAGTCATCCACACATTCACACACTGGTGATGGCAAGCTACGTTGTAGCCACAGCCACCCTGGGGCGCACTGACAGAGGCGAGGCTGCCGGACACTGGCGCCACCGGGCCCTCTGACCACCACCAGTAGGCAACGGGTGAAGTGTCTTGCCCAAGGACACAACGACTGAGACTGTCCAAGCCAGGGCTCGAACCAGCAACCTTCAGATTACAAGGCAAACTCCCAACTCTTGAGCCACGATTGCTCCATTTTTTCTTTTTGCCTACATGCTTTAATTTAATAACTTCTACATGATTTAAAAAAATCAGTGAGGAAATTTTCTTCACTGCCAAGTGCAAGACTAGCCAGAATTTTGACGTCAAATCTTTAGTTTTGTTGTGTTGTTATTGTTGAAAATTGAACTGAGTTGATGCTCCTTATGCTTCCTTGTTTAAGTTTTTTTTTCTAAAGCATTAAGTTTGAATTTTATTTATTTATTTTTTTTGTGTGAAGACCAACTATTTTATAGTACTACATGGTGTATCAGCTTTGGCTTCTTTAAACTAACTTGTAACAGGCTTGCGATATCTTAAGCAATAAAATCTAATCGAACCTCAAAACTTATATTGTCACATAAGATAAATAGTTTTCCACACTGTCTTGTAATGGTTGTTTTTTGTAAATGCACAAATTGCTCTTTGACTCTACTAATTTTATCCAAATTTTCAAGGGCATTATCCAAAGCTCATGACTGCAGCTGAGTGTTGGAACCTAGGCAGATTGGCAGGTAAGTTGAGAGCTTAACTACCTCTTTACCACAACATTAGTATAACACCAATCTGTCAGTCTCTGTCAGCACATGTTCCCCTAGCTTTTGAACACAAACCTGAGACACTTTGACGCTCTTCAAGAAGTAATTGTAGTTTTTATCCACTTTATATTCTTAGTTTACGTCACTGGATGAGGGATGTGCTTGGAAAGAAAAATGCAATACGATGAATATGAATAGACTTTGTTCAGTAGTTCAGTTAGAACTTTCAACTTATAACCCTACAAAGGCACACAAACAAAAATAAAATAAAAATCCCCAGAGTCTAAATATGGTCACAGTAGACTCCAATCCTACAACTTCCTCCAAAATTCTCACGAGATTTTAATGTCCTCTTGGTTCTTCAGTGATAGCCATCCATCCATCCACAGCTGCAGATAAATACTGATGGTAAAGTTTTATTAAGCACAGCGGTTAACTGAAATAACCTTCAAGTAATCAAGTTATCAAATTCCTTTACATTAGAAATATCTTAATGCTTGAGTGAACTTAGATGTGAGTGTGTTGCTGAACTGGAGTGACCCTTCTTAAAAGCTCTTGTCATGAACCATCCTAACATGCTTTATGTCTTAACGCCTGATCCCTCTGTCACTAAGTCGTGCTTTGCAAGAGGCTTAACTTCCTATCTGTATACGTTTGTCCAGCATAGCTCCAGGCCCCAGTGGACTGCGTCTCACCCACAGGATAGTCATTACAGTGCAAGTGAAAGTATGTGCTTGTTTGTGTGAGCCCACAGATGGTGACCACAGGGATTTGAATATCCCCTTTTTGCCTTTTTACACATGTACATCAATGTGTGGATACACAGTTGAAACATTGTGTGGCTCACAATGCAACTCATAGGATGCAAGGATCTTCTTAAGTTCCTTGCATCCCATGCCAAAAGCTAAATTAATTTTGTGGCCATGTATTTACTATGTGTGTATATTTCTGATTTCAGATCCTGTTATCTTATCCCAGGCAGCATAGTGTTTTGACTGTATGAGATTGTTGTTGGCGTGGCACTGTTTGGACAATCCCCTGACCTCAATCTCTGTCAGGGCAGGATGTGTATGTGGGTGATTTTCTTTGGATGTTGCGTTAACAGGGCTGTGTTGAACATCATCCCAATCCCAGCAGAAAAAACCTATGTTTGAAATAACCATGCATGTATTTGGGCTTATTTTTCCTCATTACATTCAGTCCAATGGCTCCAATATCTCTACATCATCATCTTCATCTATTTAAAGTATGCAGTTCAACACAAGACTGAGCACACCTGAACATGTTAAATTTGTTTGCCAGCTCAGTGTTTCTTCGGGTTATGATGTTTAGATGTTCAATTCATATTCTGATAGGGTTTTCTCATAAACACCTCCGGCTACAATAAACCAAGTATAATTTAGCTAAAAGGAATTTGGTTTGTGTTGCTAACATGGAGACGCTGCAGATAAATACAGCTCAGAGCTGTCAGGTTATTTGGCAAAACAGTGCTTTGGGCTAATTCATGAGCATGCTAACATACTCATACTGATGAATCTGCCGGGTCAATGATTAGCAGGTATAATATATATAGGATTGCCAACTCCCTGAAAAATAAATAAGGGACACCTCGTGGCCAGGGCCGGGCAACCCAGTTCACCCTTCCCAGTGTGGTGAATTTTGTAGCTCTTTTTTTTGTGTGTGAAATTATTTTTTAACCATTTGACTTGAATTTGATTTAAGCAGATGCATATTCTTTGTGATATGACCATATGGGAAACAAATGATCATTTAGCCATTTATTTTTAGCTCAAAATGACAACATTAACACAGTAAAACAGGTCTCTTTCTTAAACAGAAGCCTGTCATGCTTAACTTTTGAGAATATAAGTAAATCTTTCTTTAAAAGAACTCTGTCCTGCTTAACTTAAAATTATATAAATTAATAGAAAACAATAGAAGGAAAAATATTCTTGTAACAGTGCACATATAGTGCATTTAGTACAATTGGCTTCAGTTGAGGTATTATTTCAGCTTTTCTAATGCTAATCAGCTGCTCCTGTTTGTAAACCCACTTGTTCCCATGATTACGCATCATAACTCATCATCATTATTCATCTATGTATTACTTTTATGTATTAGTCATCTATTTGTTGTAATCATCTATCCTTGCAGTTGTTTATTACACAAAATAAATTATATTATCACACTTCTGGCCACATAGCGCTGATATTCACTGCACATGCCCATATTAACCTTAACCAGAGGGTTTAAAAAAAACAAACCAGTGTTTACATACCATATCTGCTTCTGCCGTGGCCTGGTGGACAAAAAATTGGTTAAGGGTTCC